GTCCCTCGAGTGCATCCCCAACGGGTGCCACGATCCGCCAAGGCCCCATCCATTTCGGGAGGAGCTTGCGAGAGATATCTTGTTGAAGGCTGAATTCCGCGGCGGAGACCCAAACGAGATCGCCGACGCGGAATGGGCAAGGAAGACGCTGGCGATTGGCCTGTTGGCTCATGCGTTGCTGCATCTTGGTCATCTGGTCGCGTGCCTTGACAAGTAACTCTTGCATCTGACGCAAGAAAAGAAGATGGTCGTCGCTTTCGGCCGTTCGTGGAGTGATGGTGTCCAACGGCGAGGTGACCGGCGAGCCGTGCTCGAACTCGAAGGGCGACATCCCGATAGCCGGGTGGATGGAGTTGTAGGCCAACTCGACATCCGGCAGCCGCTCAACCCAATCCTTCTGGTCAGGACGGATGAGAGTGTGAAGGAGAACCTGTGCGGTCTGGTGCGCCCTCTCTGTTTGGCCATCGGTTTGGGGGTGGCGAGCTGAACTGGGCTTGATAGATGAGCCCCATCGCTTGATGAGAACCAACCAAAATCGGACATGAACCGAGTGTCGCGGTCGCAGACGATTTCCTTGGGGTAACCCTTGGTTCGAATCCAACCGGCGTAAAGAACCTCGGCCAACTCCGGTGCCTTAGCATGATAGCAGCAAGGCAAAAACATGACGAACTTGGTGAGTCGGTCGACCACCGTGAGAATCTCATCCGCGCCGGTCTTGTGCTTGGGGAACGGGCCGGTAATGTCCATGGCAATCACTTCCCTTTGCCTCAAAGGGACCGGTAATGGTCGTAACTCGCCGTACGGACGGTGGTTGCGGGATTTGCAGCGTCGGTAATGGACGTGAGCGGGTCCAATACCTCTATGTTGAACTCGCTCGCCGAATCCCGTGAAGAACCACTTGAAGACGATAAGTCGCCGCTGTCGGACGGAGAAGACGCCGCACACACGTTTTGTCCTTGAGCTTGAGTACCCAGCGTAGGAACGAGCCGGGCAGCATAGTCCTCAAAAGAATACAGAAGAGGACTATCGACTTCCGCATGTGCCTTGGAACGAAGGGCGGTCACCCACGAAGCGACCGGTTCCGAAGGCGTCGAGAGTGTCCTCGAGTCACTCCCGGCGGTGCTCAATTTCTCGATTTGCCCTTGCCTTTCAACGGGCAAGCCAGTGTCTCATGGAGATCTTTGTTGCACCATAGGCAATAGTGGAATCTCTTGCGCTCTTTGAATGCTTGCTCGAAGATGCCGTATTGGGACCATGGGGCTGGGGCTGTTGCGCCGGGCCCGGGGCTAGATGCGGTGTTTGCGCGTCCTCGGCCTTTGTCGGGGCGGCCACCTTCGCGGGCGGCTGTGACCTTTATTGGCAGACATGGCCTCGCTAGTTTGGTCAAACGGCGTTGCCGCCGCGACCACGGCCACTCTTGGCCGATGCTGGTTTGTGCTCGGGCCTGGCGCAGACGAACGCAGGTTCTTAGCCTCCTTGTTTGTGATGATAATCTGCGCGACCTTGTCAAAGAGTTCCGCCGCTGTCGTCAAGGTGTCCTCGACGTGAGTCAGGGCATTGCTTAATGTCGGACACAACCTTGAGATGAAATAGTGGTGGATGGGTTTGAAGCCCAGCTCGATGTCTGGGACTGATGTCAAGCGTTGGTACTCGGCAATCCAGTCGACACTCGGCAGCGTGCCTTGTTCGAAGACCATTAACTTGTCCATTGCCTTGATCTCCGGCGGCTCGACTTGGAACCGCTTATGCCACGCCGCCTTCATATCATCCCCACTGATCTTGGTATGCAAGTCGGCAGCTACCACTCCGTACTTGGACAAGAGATTTTCCAACCATGCCTGACACGCACCCCCCGACCGGGAGTATAAGTACGCGTGGTGCTTGTGTTCTTTGACATAGTGTAGCTGCACCATGGAATCGGATCTGTCTTCGTCGAGTTGCAGAAGATCTCCTGCCCGTCAAACTTTGGAGCTGTCTCGCGCGGTTCCGAACTCGAGTTATTGGCAGTAGTACAGGTCCTCTGCTCCAACTGTTGCGTTGCGGTCTGCTGTAACTGCACGCCGTCCTTGAGGGAGCCGACGTCCATCTCCAATGCTTCGAGGCGATCGCAGGTGTTGGAAGAGTTGGCATCGGGGGCGGCGACAGGTCGCTGCTCCAGCTGCCGGAGGCAGCCGTGGACTTGGGTCAGCGCGTCGTCGAGGCTGTGGATGTCCTCCTGCTGTGTAATGCATGTTGCCAGGAGGTCCGTGAGATGGGAGAGGAGTAGAGTGATCTTGTTTTCGCTATCCTCCATCTTGCCATTCTTGGCCTCAGCCCGCCAATCCGCTGCCATTGTGAGCAAAGTTTGCTCTCCGCTAAATATCTTCTCCCGCCGTTGAACTCGTTCTTCATCATCAGCCTTTGGGGCTGCCTCGTCATGTTGGCGCTGCTGTTCAAGTGCCAGCAGACGTGCCTGCTCGGCGTCCTCTGCCTTCTTCTTCGCTGTTGTTGCTGCGTCATCCGCCTGTCTCTTGGTTTCAGTACTCCAGGCCAGCATCCGGGCCGATAGGCCTCGTCTGTTTCCCCGGACCTCTGGTCCATGACGGCTGTTTGTGAACGCAACAAAATAGACCAGGCCGGGGGCCCACTGACGTGGTATCCCCTGCTGCTGACGGGGCACTGCTGTCGGCTGGCGTGGCCTGCTGACGTGGTCTGCTGGTGTGTCCTGCAACCTCCCTTGAAGTGCGAAAGTATCAATGAGAAATTTTTTTTTTGAACTTGGCCAATGACTATCAGATAGTGAGAATCATAGAACTGCCAAAAGAAAAGAAAAATTCCGAAAAGAAATAACAAGTATTCGGATTTACTCAGATGAGAGTACTCGCAGTTTGGAAAATGGTACTGCAAGAGGGATTTCCCGTACCGTTTTCATAAAAATGAATTTCGGAAAAAAAATATTCTGAATTTCCAAATAACGGGAAATGCAACAGGAAATCGAAATTTTTGAGAAAAAAATATTCCGGATTTCCAACAACGAATTTCGGATTTCAGAAGAAAAATGAAAACGGAACTTTCAGATGTTGCGCTATTGCGATTTTCACAACAGAAATAGCGAGAAAACGAAATCCAAGGAAAAGAACAAAATTTCGATTTTCGGCAGTAAGGTCAAAATTGTGATTTGGGGGGCTAAACTAGAGTGCTCTAATCAATCAATCAAGACTAATCAGCTACCTAGTCCCCGTACACGTGTCAGATCAGGTTGTCCTGATTCACATGCAGCGCTCCGATACCAACTGTTACATGCCCAGATAGGCGACATACATAATAACCGAGGATCCGCAATGTGATAAAAAAGGACTGAATGGAGAATGCAGTGCAAGTAGAATCTCAACCAGCAATGTGCATTCCGATACATACAAAATGGTGCTGAATAGCGCAGGGAAGACTTAGATACAAGACCTGACCTGACCGAGACTGACCTCTATCACGTAGTAGAAGATAGCGAAGCAGTGCTAGAACACTAATGTAGTACTGACTAGCCCAATCAATGTTTCAACGCAGACCAAACATACATCATGCTCATCACAAGGTGTGAAGGAGCCTGGCGCTATACACAGGGAGGAAGCGCCACGTCCAGACATACACAGACGAAGAGGAGGGGATCAGACAAAGAAGAGGGGGAGAGATGGGAATGTCGTCGACACCAAGTCTTTGTCACAAGTCCCAAATAATCCCTCATTGAAATGTTTGAAGCCCAAAAGTCGAGTCTGGATCCAATGTCACCAAGCTCTCTCTCTCTCTTTCTCTCGTAGTCTGCTGATGCAGTGAAGTCAGATAATGAGAGGGTGAGAGGGAGATGGTGGACTGAGAAGAGGAAGAAGAAGAACTCTCTTTCTCACGGGCCAGGTACTAACCTGTGAAGTTGGCGCTGTGATGCAGGTACCTCAAAGACGAAGCTGGAGCAACGGCGCTGCAGGTAAGTATCCCTGGCCTCCGCCCAATCTCTCTCTCTCTAGTACTACCCTAGCTATGGCGCCCAGCGCTGAAGACTACAGCTACGCTACTAGCACCCAGCGCTGAAGACTAATGCTAACGCTACTACCACTACTCCTGCAGCGCTCCTCCAGAGTGCTGCTGCTGAATCCTGACGACTACTGACTGCCTTCTGCCTACCCGTGAAGTGCATGGGAAGTCCCTATGTACTATCTCGGCCTGCCTCCTGACTGCCTCCGACTGCCTGCAGTTACAGGGCGGACAGTCCAGGAGGCTGCTCTTGCCAATGCCGAACTGAGCCAGGGGCTGGCACTACAGCTGTCATGGGAACAGGCCAAAAATAGCCTGTTCCTAAAACCCTGGTTCGGTGCCTGAGTTTCAGGGCAGGCTGGTCGGATGACAGACCGGAAATGGCCCTTCGTTTCAGGCTAAAAAGGCTACTGCCATTTTTAGTCTGAAACGACACAGGGTCTGTAGGCCCCTGTTTTTCAGGCTTTCGAGCTGAATGGTCACGGGGCCTGTAGGGCCTGGTTTTCAGGCTTTCAGCCTGAGGGACGCAGGGCCCGGAAAATGACCCTCATGTGCAGGCGTAGCATGTAACAAAAGGTGAGGCATTATAAGGGTAGACATTGGTCGAGGAGGAGGAGAAAGGGAGGGACACAACCTTCTTTTCTTCAATTAGAAGGGTGGTGGTCTTGAGATATCATCTTGAACTGATCGGCCCCAGGTAATTTAGTTCTTTTTCTCCATTTATGTGTCATCCTTGCGCAGGGAATTGTTCCAATTTTAGCGGATGTCCCGAAGGACAATTTAGAATCATTCTATTCATGTAGGTCTGTATTTCAACAGGTTGTGGTGTACCGCCTGCGCTAGGACAGGCCTTGCCACGAGTTCTTGCAACGAGATCTTGCCATGAGGTCTTGCAACGAGATCTTGGCATCACCAGGGCTGGAGAACTTACAGAGTAAATCCACAACAGGTCAAGGGATTACATCTTTGCGTTTGAAATTTCGAACTTATAGACCAACCTCTTTGTATTCACTTTCAAAAGCCTTCAGCTCGTCTCGTTTCTTCAAAATTTCTGCCTCCACTTCTTTCAGCTTTTCTTTGCCATCTGCATTAATGGGAACTGCCACAGCTTCGATTGTGTATGTCGCTGACTTGAAGAAGTTGTCACCTGTGAAAACATGGAAGATCATTAGCAGAAGAAGACAGAAAAAGAAATAGACGAGTGAACCAAGCCAGAACTGTCAACATCAGACAGACCAGTGTTCTTCCGAGTGGAAACACCCCTGGCATCACGTCTGCCAAACATTCAGTAAAGGCTGAAGGGTCAATACAACAAAGGAAAAAACAATTCAAAAAAGTTGGGGCTGAGTAGATGAAATAGGAAGCATTGCATCTTCAAACCGGGGCTGGAAACCCGGTCCCACCGGGGGGTCCACCCCCCACCGGAACCAGGCCGGTGGGAGTCGTGGGACCGGCCGGTCCACCGGGCCGGTTGCCCTCCACTGGGCTATAGCGCATAGGCGAATACTGGGCGAATCGAACTTTTTTTGGGCCAGGAGGCCCCCACGCGGGTTGTGGGGGCCTCCTGGCCCTAAAAAAATGTGAAACGGGTCCAGTAGGGCAGCCTGGAGGGCTGCCTCTCTGGACTGCTGATCTCGAAAGATCGGCGGCCCAGATGAGGCCTCCCTTTTCGAAACTTGGGAGGAGCTGCCGTTCCCTCCCACCTACGACTTCCCGTCTCCACCCGGCTCACCAGCCGTACCGTCGACAAGCCAATGCCCCCGCTGTCGTTGCCCATCGCCGTCGTCATCGTCATCGTCGTGCAGCAAAGCCAGCCCCCCCGCCCGCCAGCGCGCCACAGGTACGTTTTCTTCTTCTTCTTCTTCTTCTCCTTACGTTGTGTGGAAGTGTAGGCGCGGGGTACACACACACACACACACACACACAGAGAGAGAGAGAGAGAGAGAGAGAGAGAGAGAGAGAGAGAGAGAGAGTAGGCCGTGAGTAAGCGCGCGATATATATATATACATATATATATAGAGAGAGAGAGAGAGAGAGA